GCCAAGCCGTTACAATCAGATTTGTTAAAGTTGATGTAGGTTCGGTGGTCCGAGGGAACAAAGTCGGTGGGCTTATTGATCGAGATGATTATGGGCAGTTGGTCTGATGCAAGCCTTAGCATAGGTCGCCATGTTATGCTATTCATCAGACCAGCGCCAGCAATTGTTAGGTCTGGCGAGCTGCTGCAGCTGCCCAAAATCTTAGCGGGGGCGTCCTCGTTCATGGTGCAGAATGTCGAACCGTCTATATACTCAGCCAATAGGTTTTGCCTACGATCAATTGAAAGACTTGAGTGCCAAATATCGTGGTGCGCGTTAAAGTCCCCTACTACCATTCCGGTTTCACCTATGAGTAGCGCACTTATGTCAGGGTGATTTCCTGCAGGGCAGCAGGTGACAGGGGTTGTATATACGTTAACTATTTTGAGCTCGACATCGCCTGACTGGACAGCTATGCCCTGACATTCTAGGGTGGTGTCCCTCGGGTCGGTGTCCTCTTCGATTAGACGATATTGCACTATGTGGTGTAGGATGAACGCTGATCCTCCACCACTATCTCGTTCGCGATATTTACGGAGCACATTATAGGTGGCGCAACTCAACAGCGTTGACCCACGAAGACTGGTATCTCTTCAATCATGTTATGGAGTCCGTTGGAGTTCAGTTGTAAGAGTTTGGTGGTCGCGATAGGGGAGGTGAGAGAAGTGTGGGGCCTACCTTGGGCCTGTTATATCTACCCCATTTGCTGTTGCTGCAAAAGGGCATGTGTGCCATTTGACTAATGCCACATTCCGGTACACTCCGTTGTAATGGTATGGGCAACCAAGAGCTGCTAGTTAACTCGCACACGCGAGTTGTAGCGGCGGGAAGAGTGGTGTGAGGGGTAAGGGAGTGGCGAAGCTTGCTGTTGCTCAGAGGAGCTTCTTGGAGCCGTTTAGGCTCTATCTGTGCTAGTTCGCATTTGCTCGTTGCGCGTGGAGGCGGATGGTGCCATCTGGCCTGAGAAACAGGGGCCACAAAGCTTGCGGTCCACTTCCTGTGAGACCAAAGGCCAGACCAGATTCTTAGGTGACTCCATCCGTTGTAAGAGTTGCACCTAACCGAAGTGAAGTTCGGGCGGAGTCGTATCTGGCAAATGCAGCAGAAGTATGTTTATGGACCGGGGTTGGACTCAATGCCCGCCCGGAGAAGAGGGATGCTAAGCAATCCGACTGCAAAACCTGAAAATGACTAAACGGATGTGCATGAAATTTTGCACACGGATAGCTTATGACCTCAATGACAAATATGTTACCTCTTTAACAGCTTTCCCCAACAGACACCAAATTTTGCATACTAACTGCAGCCTTCCGATGGTCATACATGGCCTGAAAATAATTTCGATAAATCAGGGGGCGTGGCCCTTCCCATACAATTGAAATTTTCTTATTGTATTAATATCTCTGTAAGTGTTTGTTGAAATTGGTATGGAGATTTGTATCAATTTCATACTCACCGAGATAAATGTGTGTTTTTTTTTAAAAGGGCCGTGGTATGGTTATGGGAAAAGGGGGTGTGGCAACTCAAAAGTATATGTATAGAGAAAAATTGGGGTTATTGGAACTCTGCATATCTCTGTGTTTGTGATAGAATACTGAAACTTGGTTTTGGGATACATAAAATCGGCTCCATACTAATGGAAGCAAGTTAGAGTTAGACAAATGTGAAATTTTCATACAGCAAGTGTCTGCAAGTACCGTATTGACAGAAAAATCTAAATTAATGGAGAAAGGGGAGCCGGCATCTGCCATATAATCTAAAATTCTAATAATGCATGCTTCTAATACCTCTGGAGGCATTTAGCTGCAGTATTGAAAAATGGTTTTTTATCAATGCCAGGTTACTGAATTCAAGTTGGACATATTAAAAACCGGACATGCCACCTTACCTTAAACTTAGAGGGACAAGATTTAATAATTTCAAAGTTTTAAACGGCCTAAATACCTTAACTAGCTTAAAAAATATACAGCTATAGAAATATGGACGCCGAAATAAAATATAACATCGTTAAATATTTTTTTTTTATTTGTATGAAAATGTTGGGTGAAACCCGCTAGTAAACATATTTTAATAAATATTTTTACCCACAATTTTTAACGTGTGAGCTTTTTTCCGTCAACCTAAATTATCTTATTTATCGACTGGAACAGTTCATTCAAGCGATGCGTTTACTCATAATTTTACAACTCTTTCCTTTGAGTGTCGGCAGTAAAGGAGTTCCATCTTCACGGAGCGCTTCCTCGTAAGGACACTCCAAATCTGTCTTGAATCCGACTTTTTTTTGCTAGACTCTGAGAAGTTGGACTCGTAAACTGCGTTGATGTGTACTCGATACCATACTTTTTTCCAATTCCGTCTCTGATAAGAAATAAAAGAAGATTAAACTTTTGTTGACGTCTCCGTGACCAAATCTAGTCACCTCAATTCTAACAGCTTTT